TATTTTGAAGAATATGGATAACCAAACTGTTTTGGTCCCCATTGACTTCCATATATTTTTCTCCATACTATGGAAGTCAAGTCAATAGGGCCCATCAACTGTTTGGTTATCCATATTCTTCAAAATATCTTCATTTGTGTTCAACAGAAGAAAGAAATTCATACATGATGAATACATTCATAAATGACAGAATTTTCATTTTTGGGTGAACTAACACTTTAACACTGGACTAACAGTAGGCTCAAAGTACAGTAACACTGCCTCATTGGAAACTGTAATTTTTTTGCAAGAAAAGGAGTTGGTCAACGTGCTCTGGCAGAAGGCAACTTCTTTGAGCTGTAATAATGTCTCCAGCTGTGGAGAAAATTCTTTCAGCTGGGACACTGGTCCCTGGAACACAAAGATATCGTTTTGCCTGGAGGGACAAAAGTGGGTACACTCCTTCATGCTTACACCACCACTTAAGTGGATCTTCTGAGAGAGGTATAGGTGTAACTTCTCTGTATTTGACAACTTCTTCCCGTGCCCTGTCTGCAGCAGTAGCACTGACTACTTTAGCCACTGGTGCATAGGCTGCCCCAAGCAGATCCAACAGCGCACAGGATTCTTTTGACCTCTTTGGTGGGGCTGGGGAGGGGTCACCTTCACCAAGGGATTTTTGCTCCTGTACAGGTGCACTGCCTCCATTACCAGCACTATCAGATCCTTGCTGCTGATAGTTAAAAACAAGAAAAATATAAATTAAAATTTTATTTGAATTTAATGTTGCCCATCTCCACCATACAGAAATGTTATTATTTTACTTTAATTTATTATATTTATATGCAGTTAATAAATATTGGTTTGTTTACATTTTCAGTTTTAAAACTTTATGCAACATACATCATGTGCCTTAACTTGCTCCAGAGTGACCATCTCACTGATCAATGTTGTGAATGTGTCCTCGCGTTCCTCTTCAGAGATGAAAGGAAGAGTCTTGAAACGAGGGTCCAGGGCAGACACAACATGCAGCTTCTCTTTTAGATTTGCATATCTTTAAAGATTAGACAATCACATTTAAATTACATTATGTCATCAACATACACAAACTTACAATTAACAAGAATGTAATCTGTTGTAACATTCACACAAATTGTACATTTTATAGATAGTTCTAGCTGTTTTGTAAACGTACCTAAACTTCAAGTTGTCATGCACGGCAGATTTGAGTTCCTTAATGACAGTCCAATCACTGGCAGTCGAGCGCATCTCATCAAGGAGCTGTGCGTGCAATGGTGCAATAATAGAGAGAGTAGCGGTGTTCTCTCCAGACATCACCAGAGTTGCACTTTTCATCGGCTGAAGAGTTTTCACGATGTCCTCTGCCACAGTTATATCTGCCTCTGTCAAAGTGCAAAGATCCTTTTCGCTCCGACGGACTTCAGGAGAAAGAAGTGCAGCTGAGATTGCCGGTTGCTGGTCCAAAAATCTGTCGAGTACGGTGGCCGAGAGAGCTCAGCGCGCTGCAACTTAAGAAAACACATGCAAATTGAAAAAACACCAGCAAATTAAGAAAACATCTTCATCAGTTTGACAACACACGCGCTGCAAATCCTCACAACACATGCAAATGAAGAAACGCGCTGCAAATAGCACGGACC